ACACCACAGCTGAGGTAGAGCACTAGGTTTCCCCAATAGGTCTTGTCCACAATCAACCTACAATCTTCAAGAGATGACAACGCCTTCATGAAGATTTCCTAAGCTAATACAATACAGTAGAAGAAATCAAATCTACTAGTATTCGACGTATGAAGAAGAAGTCTAAGGTTTTGTATACATTTTCGAAGCTTTTCATAGTATAACAAACAAAGTCATTTGTTTCGAAGTATTTGTAATTTTGTTTATACGATCTGGAAGTTAAAACTATATAAATCGTATCACATCTAAGATAACTTATTTAATTCAAAATACCGACCAACGACAAGTTTAGTCATTAAAATATCTTATTTTTAACTATATTTTTTTTTTCAAATGTTCCAAAGCACGCAAATAATAATTGGACTTTAAAGTGGATTTGAATTCCAAAATTTTTTTTTAAATATTTTTTTTTCAAAAAATAAAAATAAAAATGTCTTGAAATTATTATACCATAAAATTATTGAAAACAAAAATATTATCTAAGTATTTTTTTTAAACTCTAGTCATTTTCAGGACATTGACCCAATCTCGGGCGCAAAAAGGTTGATAGTGACCGTGTTGGATATAGTGGAGGTAAATTTTTTTTTTAGGGACAACTGAGTGTGGCATTCCTCAACATCCTGAGGATGGCGCCAATGTCTTGAAAACGGCCTTGAACAATGATTTGTCTTATACTAATACCGAGATGTTATAAATCGTAACCGATATTATTTAATGACTTAAAAAGAAAGGAGAAGAAACAAACGGGTTTCAAAGAGTAGCAACGGAAAGTTATTTAGAATATTATGTCCTACATTCTTACAATTAAATACTATAGACCTAGTTGATCTTAAAAACCACTTAATAGGGATTAATAAAAATCGTTAATGCCGTTTTTGAGAAAATCGTAAAAACGTGTAACACTGTTGATATAAAGTGCCACTTCCGGTTAGCCGATTTACAGGAAAAAGTTATTGTAACATCTCGGGAATATAAATGCGTAATATCAGTATCAGTCTATCTTAAATACGTAATATCAGTTTCTTACGACTTTTCGTTTTTGAGCTAGACTGTTAACATACAAACATAAAAGAATAGAATAGAAAATAATTTTATTCTGGGACGAAGCCCCTTTAGAATAACAAAAAAGTACAAAATTAAAATATTATATCTGGCCAAATAAAAACAAACATAAAAAGTAAAAATAAAGATAAATAAGTAAAGAGAATATTAGTTATACATACTATACACAAAATAAAATAAAAAAATCTATATACAAAACTCTGGAAACCATGCCAAGACATTTAAAATTATGTACAATGGTAAAATATAAATATACACTTTTAGAAAAAATAAAAAATACATTACATTCTTCTAAGCCGTTAATTCTATGTTTCTGTTGAAAAAAAAGAAAGTCGAATCTGATATTGAGTATTCAAGTGATGAGCTATATGTAAATAGATCATTATGAATAATATGTAATTTTACATAAAATGTTAGCAGGTATCTGACTGTTTTTGGGACAGGAATTGGAATAGGAGGGTTTTGAACGTAGATAGGGATGAAGAATGCCGAATTTTGATAGGAAGGGAATTCCAAAAATTAACAGAGCGAGCAATAAAGGAATTTTGGAACGAGGCAGATCTGTGAGAAGGAATGTAAAGGTCGGAAGGTTGAGATCTTGTGGAAAGAGAGTGGACTGAGGACTTGAATTGAAGAAGATTGTAAGCGTAAGAAGGACGATGATTATTGATGATTTTAAAGAGGAACGTACCTAGAAAATATTGTCTCCGAATGGAGGGGAAACATACAGACCATTTTGTAGGACTTATTTCGACCTCAAAACGTTTATTTCTGTTGAAATCTCAGATTCGAAAATTTTTACGATCGCAATACTTTCCCTTACTATATATTACGTATATAGATAAGTAAAAGTAATAAATAATAATATTTCATATAAATTTAATAACATTTTTTTCTTTAACCTATATATAATATGATTTATGAATCGGGGCCGTGGTGGTCGAGCGAGCTAAGGCGCATGTAAAACTTTTATACCAAGTGTTCAAATCCCGTTTGCGGAAATTAATAAAACACACAAAATTAATAATAAATTAAAATAATTAATGGCAGGCCCCCACTCGACTACTACGCGGGTTCGATTCCCGCATGGAGACAGTAACGTCCCCAACTTTAAAGGGAGGTGAGCGACCCCTCTGTCTTAAACCATGGTACTCCAGGTAGGATATTGGGTATAGGGCTGATGATCCCCTATCCCATAAAAAAATGGGTGGAAGATTGAAGCAAAAGATTGCCAACCATCCTCCAGGAAAGTTTCTAATGAAGATGGAGTGAAATGTGATCGCGTCCGGTTATTAAACCACGTGCTCCCTGGATATCTTGAAGAAGAGAGAATTTGTTCACTCTACCGATCACTACTTTCGTCTACAACAAACTGCTAAACTGCTGAAGAAGATTCATGACTGAAAAAGCCGAAGTCAAGAGGCGTAGGAAACAAAAAGGAGTTAATTTTAAATTAAATAATATTAAATTGTTTATTTGTGTGCTGGAACGCGAGCAAAACACTCGATAGTTTAATGACTAAAAATTAAACAACCCCCTTACTAAGTATATAAAATATTTACGTATTGAATCATACATAAAATATACAAAACATAATAATAAAACCGAACAAAAAATAGCATGCAAACGTACTCACTCGTTTTATGTTTCTTCATATTTGTAATGTTGCTCTGCCGCAATGTCGCTCATGTGTGCCTAACTTATTTAAATTCATAATTATTTAAAATTAAAAAAGAATCGATTTAAAAGCAAATAATATATTAACCTGCTTATTGTGTAATTTTAAAATTAATTTTTTGAAATTTAATATATTAAAAAAGTATTTGTAATTAAAGTGAAAAAAATAATGAATAAAATTTTTATTTATTTGAAAAAAATAAAACCATTGAATAAATTAAATTAAGAAAAAAATCACTAATATCCAATAAGAAAATTTGTGTATGTGTAATGAGAGGAGCCCGCTGCTGTAGACTGAAGACCCTGAAACCCTCGCTCTCACATAAATATAATAAAATTGACAAGTAACACAAATTTAATTGTATTCAATAATTATATAAATTTTAATTTTAAATAACAATAAATAAAAATATTTGCATTAAATAATTGTGATATATTTAACTATTGTTTCTAATTTATTATAGATTTCTTTTTCTATCAATTTGTAATCAGTCTAATGAATTTAATCATTTATAGAAATGTTTTGATTGATCATAGCTTGAAATAGACATTTACAAAATTTAAAAAAAATTGAACCCCCTCCCTAATGAATTAGTTAAATTTTAACAGTAAATTAAAAATTAATAAATAAACCTAAGAATTGTGAGAGGAGGTTGCCCAAGTACATATAAAAATATATTACATGCTCATGCAACATGCAGCAAACACTGCCCACTAGGGAATATATGACCTGCCTACCTACCTATCTTTTAGTAATTATGTTCATGTCTTAATCATAAAAGAAAATGTATTCATTAAATTAAATTTTTTAAATTATTTTATTTATCTAATAATGAATATAACTTTAAATTATCAAATAATTATAATGTGTATTATACAATATTATACAGCACATAGATAAAATGTATATATAGTTTGTAATTAAATAAAAAGCTTTTGAATGAAATATCACAGTATAATGAAAGCGGAAAAAAATATGGTTCCTAAATCATTGTACAATAATTATCATGAACATGCAAATTTCCAGGCAAAAAAACAACAACACATGCACATGCAATCTCCAAAGTGGGCAGAGACTATGGCCCAGATCAAACATAATTTTATAGAGATTAAATTAGCTATAAAACAGTATGAATCATGCGATTAAAAAAATTACTTAATTTCTTAAAAGACCATTTGATAACTTAATATTGTTTGAGCTATGGACCACAGTGCATGCTTAGAACTTGTTTCACTAACCTCAGGAATGCTGCTTATGGAGTCCTGAAGATCTATTAGAAGTTCTCAGCCCTGTAACACACATAATTATGTAATAAAATAAAAGAATATCAATAAGTTATATGAATTTTAACTTGTATAAAATTATAATTTATTTTATTTTCTAATCAAGAGCCTTCCTTATTAATAAACATTTGGTTTCCGTTAAATAATATTAGTTTTCAGAAATTATTATTTATAATTTTTTTCCCACTCTCCATTACCTTCTACGACTTTATATAATTAATATTATTGAGTCTTTTTTCATTACTACATTTATTTACCAAGTTTAATCAAAATCGTCAGAGCCGTTTTTGAGAAAATTGTAAGTAATAAAGTAGTTCTTCCGGTTAGCCGATTTTCAGGAAAAAATTGCTGTAACATCCCAGGTATAAATATTGTCCTGTCATAAATATTGTTACAAGGAAACATATCCAGATTTAAATAGAAAAATTAATTTTTTTCAAAAACTTTATTAGACAATAAAATGTATATCTATAGAGAGTAAAATAAATTACTCAAAATACCCCCCTTTTGTCTTGACACAGGCATTTAATCTCAGTGGCCAGTCATTAATAGCAGCATGTAGCACTTCTTGCGGAAAGCGCTCATCTGTTCCGACAAGAGATTATTTGAGGCTTTCCAAGTTAGGGTTTGATCTGTGGCATGCCATCCTCTCCAGTTCGGACCAAAGCCGATAATTTAGTGGGTTGAAATCAGGGCTTCCTGGTGGCCAATCCGAGGCAGAGATGAACTCTGAAGTGTTCTTTTGTAGCGAATGCTGAGCTGACCTGGAGCGGAATCCTGCTGGAAAACCCAATGACTTCCAGCAAACAGAGTATCATTTGGAGGCTTGAGAACAGGTTCCAAAATATCGTCCTGATAGTTTTCAGCGGCTGTTTTAACTCTTTCTGCACAAAAATGGAGCTTTGTGATGCCATCAAAGGAAACTCCCCACCAAGCCATCACTTAGGAAGAGTGATGACCTCTTTTCACTCTTCCAATGACTTCCTGCTCTTCTTTAGAGCTGTATGCGTACACACGATCATTTTGGCGATTAAATATTTCTTCAATTGTAAAAATTTTCTCATCGCTAAACAAAATCTTTCGATGAAGACCATTAGTGTAACGGCCAAGGAGCTCTTTGCATCTATCCTTTCTATTTTTATTTTTAGGGAAGTGGTTAGCCTTTGTCCTGTCATTCTTCGAAATGCACCTATTCTAAGGTCACTTTTTATTATGCGAGGCTTTGATCTGACAGAGATTCTCATTTTCCGAGACTTGATTTGTTGTTTGTTGATGGCCCGGTCGAGGTCTGTCACATACAGATAGGTCTCATTATATCTATTTATTCTGCGGCACACGAACATACTGCTGATACCCAAAGGTTTCAAAGTCCCACTCCATGTTAACTGAGCGACAGTAAAATACAAACTAACTGTGATTATTATCCTGGCATGTAAAGAAAATAACCTGATAGAGGTAAGGGTTACTAAAAAATACCCAAGGAAGGATGTAAACAATGTTCAACTTTTATAACCGTTTTGTGGCAGAACTATGTTTATACCTCCTACCTTAAATGCATTATTTCAGTAGAGTTTGTTATTGTTAGGGTGATTTTTTTTCTATAAAACTTGGTTATATTTTACCGTTTTGGGGCGGGTGAGTGGGCTTCAGCCCGAAAGCCCCCCTCCGTAAATCCGCCTGTGCCATCCATAATGACCTTAATGTTCCTTATGTTTCAGATTTGGCTCAATCCAGAAACCTATCCTTCCATAATGAACTTCAGAATCATCCTAACCATCTCGTTTTTAACCTTGCTTCCTCTTCAATTCCTAGTTACGGAATGGACGGAATGGATTCGTAACAAATAATAATAATACTAATTTAACTTTTATTTTAATGATTCAGTTTGTTAAATATGCCAATTAGTGAATGATGTATTGTATTGACGTTTCTAAGGACTCAAAGGATAAAAGAACAAAGCATCCCTAGATAGCCAGGTCAAGCTATGTCTGATAGCTTAGAGATAGTTATCTAGAATGTACCGACTGGACAGAAGACCCATTATCAAGACTTAGGAAACAACAAACCGATTTCAGCAAAAGGGCATTTTCTCACAGACCTCATCTTAAGAATATTAACTATTGATAACTTTCTTTGTCGTCTTCTTCCGACTTCCCTTCACCCCCTTGGTATTCTTGGTCATATGAACCCCATGCTCCTCAGGCCAAATCACTCATGCAGTTACATTCTTGAAGTCACACTCTTCACTGTAGGATACCTCGAGTGAACTCGTGTAGTCAAACCATATATCCGTAGTATATTACTCTGTATGTTAGATGTCATTTGTAACAGACATTAAGAATAAAACCATTACTTACAAAGTCTTCACTGCCTCCAATTCGTTAACTCCTGATAACCCTCCGAGGCGTCTGAAAAGAAGATGGCTCCGTGATCTCCTAATGTAGACACATCATTACAGTGCTACCATTGGGTAGTTACTCAACAAGTGTTTTCACGTCATTATATCCATATGTTCAAATTTACTAAATGTATTTCTTTAATACAGTTGTAAATATCATTAAGAAATAATAAAACAAGTTTATAGTTCCTATTAAATAAAAAAAATCTGGTGCGCGCAACACACAACTTTCACTTATCGCTCTAATTTGAATAGAAATTATTTTCTGGCAATGCTGGGCTATTATAAAATTTTTTGAAGTGCATTTTAAACGGAGCTAAAGCTTAAAGCTTACAGATAACAAGTCATTAAGACCATTATAATTACAAAATGTCTATTTTATATATCGACGACAGGTAATAAAAATCTAGTCACTCCATCTGCTTTTATAAACCACACAACTTTCTTTGCTTTTATAAACCACAGAATGACTAACTCCAATTTCAACATTTTTGAGTGATGTCATTTTAGTGATATTTTTAGTTGAAAAAGTTATCTATGCAGATAACTTATGAGTAAGTTGATTACGGAGGTGGTGATTGCAGTGTTGAAATATAGAACTGAGAATAAAGGTATAAATTTAGGTACTTATTTCTTATGAAAGATGTTCTTAGGAAAGATTCTTTATTAAATATCTGTAGAAAAAAGTTTTTTTTAGTCTCAACAATTAAAAAAGTATATTTTAAATTTATCCAAATTTTCGCATCTTCAGGGAAAAAAACTAGAGACCATATCTTTCCTCCTAATTGTCCGATTTTAACGATTTTTTTTGGTGATTAACTTTTGGTGATTTTTGCGAAATGATTAACTTTTTAAAATAAACCATATTAAAGGTACTTTAGAGGAAGACATATAAGAACATTGGGCATTTAAGCCCTGTAAATTGACAGCAACGGGGATAAGACCTAAATGATATTAAAGACCATTTAATTATACAATGATACACCGAGTTTAATCAAAATCGTTAGAACCGTTTTTGAGAAAATTGTAAAAATGTATTTCAGCGTTCATATAAAGTGGCATTTCCGATTAGCCGATTTTAACAAAAAAGTTGCTGTCATATCCGGCCCATATACAAACCTTAAATACTTAATATCAGTTTCGTACTACTTCTCGTTGATGAGCTAGACCGTTAACACACACACACAGACCATTTTGCGACACTTGGTTATTTGTACTCAGGGGACCTCAAAACATGTATTTCCGTTGAAAACTGAGATTACAATATATTACATATATAAGTAAGTGAAAGTAAAAATGACTTACTTAGAAACACTTAAATTTCCTACTTTTCTGCCGAAAATCGGACCAATGTTTATATAAACTTTTTTGTAGCTCTGCTATAACTCTTGTAAATATTTTCCCCTACTTACGGGACACCATATTTATATTTATTGTAGATTTTTATTATTATAATTACATACGATATAAACCGTATAATGTCATTATTACAGTTGGAGAAAGGTACAAGGGTGCCATTGGCTGAGAGAACTGCTATGGGGGGCCGAGGCAAAAGCTGGGGGGGCTGCGCGGTGGACCTGAAGTCGCTGTATAGATCCGCCCGCTCACTCGCGGCAAGACCTCACACCGCTCCACACCTCACCTCTCTCTCTCTGCTCGCTACTGTCGTATACTTCACAACACACGTAAGTATATATTTATATATACTCCGAGCTTTGGCAATACCTCCTATCTACACGTTTGCCAATATTCAAACAAAGTACCATTTTTAATAAATTTTTTACTGTTCATTAAAAGTATAATTTTTAAAAATTTGATTTATAGTATGAACCAAAGGTAGAAGAGATATTATTATTAAATGGAACAGAAGATTACAGAAAATGTTATGTATAGTGTTAACAAAATATTTTATTATTATTTTTTTTTTTTTATGATTTGTATTGACTCAAATTTCAAATAGGAGATATTGCTAAATAACAAAAAAATAGTATACTAACATTTAGTAATATTTAATACAAGTATGTTATTTAAATAAAGAAATAAAGATAATAATTTAGTCATTAATTATATTGTGCTAACGCTAATGACGCTAATGGTGCACATTTTCAGCTTGACGTATTCGAAAATATATTATTTTGTATAACCCTTTTCTCTCTCTCTTTCTATATATAGTCTCTTTCATTATTATTAATTGATTTAAATATTTGAAAACAGTATATTTCTTAAATTTTCTGATGACATAAATCTGATAAAGACATAAAACAAAAAACAGATGAGTTACTAGCAGGTATCAAGCCATTATAACAGGTATAAAATTTAATTACAACAGTAAATGAACAATTAAAATTAAGACAAAACATTATACATAAAATACAAATACATGCTTGTAATAGCGATGCTTATATAATAATAATACTACATATATATATATATATATATATATATATATATATATAATTGTTTATTTACTACCTAGTTTTATCAACGGACTGGTTTTTGGTATCTCGTCATCTGATTTCTTTCAGATTGATATTATTACAAAATTTTAAAAACGTGAAATTTCCCTAAGGACGCCTGAATTGGAGGATAATTGGCTTATTTAATAATAAATTGAATTTCGATTATACAAAATCGGCTATAAATAATAATGGATATTAATATCTATAACTGTATATAGACAAACATAAAAGAAGACTTACTATGTCCTTTTAGAACATATTAAACTGTCTTCAATTTTTTTTTTCTAAAGGGGTTGCCACACATATAAAAAAGTATAAAAGTTGTATATACATATATAATTATAATTATTATTTATTTAAACATGTATATCATTTAATATTATCATATTTGTATTCTGATTTGCTGGGGTTCCGTTTAGGTTTATTATATTACGCCTTCCTTGCATCATTTTATTTTATTTAATAAATAATAATAAGGCTTAGCGAACCCGAAGGTTCGATGCCGACACCAGCAATCGCTTGTTACACACCTCCCTCCACCGTTCGCCGTCCAAACCCAGTCCCTTCAGATCGGCTTTAATGCAATCCTCCCATCTTCGCTTCGGTCTACCCCTCGGACGCTTACCATTCGGCACAGCAAATATTAACCTTTTAGGAATTCTCTCGTTACTAAGCCCAACAACTTTACAAGCCCATTTGATTCGCCGCGATGAAATTACCTCAATTATATTACCCGGATACATCTCACGCAATTCGGCGTTGTGTAACCGTCTGAACTCTCCGGTTAACTCATCCTTTTTCGGTCCGAATATTCTACGCAATACTTTATTTTCAAAAACCTTAAGACGCTGCTCATCCCTTAATGTAAGCGGCCAAGTTTCGCATCCATAAAGAACTGTAGGTAAGATAATTGTTTTATAGATTCTAATTTTTAAGTTTCGGGACAGGAGGCGCGAACTAAGTAGTTTTGTCACAGAAAAATAACAAGCGTTCCCCGCCTTCAGTCTAACCTTAATCTCTTCTTCAATTTCGTTTTTTCTAGTTATCGTAGAACCTAGATACCTAAATTTATCTACCTGTTCAAACATATTACCATCTATATCGACATCACCAGTAGTATCGCCATTTTTGCAGCTAACCATATATTTTGTTTTATCCACGTTTATTTCAAGTCCTAGTTCTTTCCCGGCTTTCATTAACGTTGTCGTATTCAGTTTTATAGTTTCAACGTCTTCGCTTAACAGTACCAGATCATCAGCATAGCCCAGCACGGATGTTGTCCCGCCCAGATCCAACCTTTTCTCGGTTCGCATTACCTCCCTAATGGCATGTTCTAATGCCAAATTGAACAGGACAGGCGAAAGAGAATCCCCCTGTTTTAAGCCCGAACGAACCTCAA